CTGTTGCCAGGGACGCGATTCGGGCCGAGGGGTCGCCGAGATGACCCCCGTCCGGGCTGTTCCCCTCCGGAGTCGGGTCAAGCCCTCTCCCGGATGACGGTCTCGTAAATTGTCACCTAATGTCTATTTTTCGGTCCCGGAGAGGAGGAAGCCGTCTCAGCCACCGCCCCCTCCACAGGAGTGTCAGTAGGACCTGCTTTGAACTCGATGTAAGGTGACCGTCCAAAGTTTCCCCGACGGTCGATCCCTCGATCGTTCTCACGATTGACGACCGTGAATCTGTCAATTAGGGCTGGAATGCGACAATTAAATCGTCTCGCACCCCGTTCCTTGGTCACACCGGTCCTATTTACGTAATAAGTCACCGATATATTGACTTTAGCTCGACAGCCGGTTTCCGTCCGAGGGGGGGGTGTGGTCCCGGCCTCACAAAGGTCATCGTTTGAATTACATCAAGTAATTAATTAATAACAATATATATGTGTTTACAATTACACATATATATTGTAATAGAAATTAAATAGAAATAGAAATTAAACTGATTTAACAGTATGATTAATTTTAATATATTAATGAATCCTATTATTGAAATTACGATGCGCAATACGAAATAGGAATTATAATTAATAAAAATAATACATAAAACATAACTCTAATCACAGAAAAGTAGTGTCAAAAGGTAGTGTCTGAAACATTCCAGTCGATCCGACGTCAGATAGGCCAACTTACACAATTTCATTTATTGAAAAGAAAAGACTGCTGACAAATATTTTTTACTTCATTGTATTGCGTGAGTGTGTATCAGAGTAATCTGTTTGCAAAACAAAAAACAATCAAAGGTTAGCTTCGCATTTAGCGCTTTTGTTGGTTGGCAGATAAATTAAAACACCATTCGGGAGTTTCACGATCTGTTTAATTAATACGTCGAACTGAAGTATGTAATTTCGTGATTTAATTTGACATTTCGAAAAGATAAAAGCCAACTGACAGACATTTCATACAGATGTTTCATACAGGACAGCATCCAGCAAAGCTTATTCCACGGTCGAACGGATTAAGCTATGTTTTTCTTTTTCTCAAAAAGGTTCAATGATTCTCTTAGTTCATTTTACATATGAGGTTCAATGATGAAATTACACATTAAAATAAACAGGAAACTGTATTGAGTAAAGGTTGTTTTTCTGTGACATTTTTAAATAGCTATATGATGTATGTAAATAATAGTTTACATTTTTGTTTTGTGATGTAAATATTGAGTTGTATTATGCTTTCAAAATATTCTAAAAACTTACCCTTATTATTTAGTACATCGTAATTATTTATGCTCGTTTAGTAACAGGCTTATTTTTGGTTATTGTTCGCTTTGCTGCAATGTGTAAAACCTGTATTTTTTAACTTTGGTAGTAGTTTGTGTAACCGAGGCAATTGTAATTAACGGTATATTTAATGAAATTAATGAAATATCAAAGGAGTAATATTAGATAAAAAATTCAGTTAGGTGTTATGTTTCTGCTTATTAGTAATAATAAATACTTGAAATTACTCGCATAAATTTTAAATGCGTCTAAAAATAAGCAATTTTTATAAAACTGTCGGTTGTGTATTATCATGAAATATGTTCAATTTTTCAGATTGGCCCTTTAATTTCTGTATTTAACCTAAAAGGTTTATTTTCAAACAAAATCATATACGGCATTATACCGGAAGGACCTTTTCGACAGAGATTTATCCGACATTATTACTCTCCTTCTCGATTTATACCCATATTTCATTATATATGTTTTTATTTTGAACGTCGTATGGTGAGTTTTTATCAAATCAATCAATGAAGTTAGCAAATATGCGTGTAATAGGTGTATTAATAATTTAAAATATGTATTTTAATAGTTTGAGCGGGACATTCGCATGTGGAATTACAAAATGTATTTGAAGAATCCAATTTACATGGAAGGAGAAAGGCAGATTGCAAAATATAGAAGATGGTTTTCTCAGTTTTACAGCGAAAACAGCCCGAGAATTGAAGAACAAGATCTTAATTGGTGATTGGAAGTAATTTTATAGTTTGTTGACTTTTCGAAGGAAATTACATATTTTTGTTAAATTTAGGCATTTTTAATCATAATGGTCTTTAAATAGCAATTTACAGCGTAAAATATTGATTTATAACTGTAAAATTACTTCTAAGTAGCGATTTATTATGTTAAATTCTGTTTTTTTTATTGTATATTAATAAATAAATATTTGTTTAAACTACGGAAAAACATAAAACAAAGATAATTGTGTGTTTTGTTGATTGTTGCTTCTGTTCACAATTTTTAAAACATTTTGCAAATCAATATTAGAATCTCTTTGAAAGTGAAATGACTAAAGTAAGATATTTTATTTTTTACTTAGCATAAACTGCTATAACATAACAAACAGCACTAAAAAGCAGAATAAAGATAGAAATCAAATTGTTAAAAATTTATTGGAATTTTTAAACACGTTAAGTTAGCATTAACGCCAAATTACAAAATGATTTAAAAGTTCTTCTAATAATAATAATTTCAAAGGAGTTGATAAGTAATAGTAAGAAAGGAAGTGGTGTTTCCAGGACCACATTTAAAATGTGGCAGTCCCGCATGAAGCAGAACGCCAACAACAAAAATAAAGCTGTAAAGGTGAGAGTGCAGTCAGTAATGGTACTTCAAAGGGCCGAGCAGATCGTCGATCTATCCTTCATGTCGTGCTCAGTATAGGCTGATTGTATGACCTGAGAGGAGGAAGTGATGGCCGATAAAATGGCGGCCACAAGAAGTATGCGGGCATTGCGTAGGCAGGTACGTGTACTAAAAGACGCAGCTTAAGATGCTGTTCATTCTGGAAGAATGGTGATCCCCCTGTGTTCTTTCCATTCCCCGACCGAAGAGTGTCTATCCACGGCTGTGAATATGGACGAGAGGACTTTGAGGTCAACCAGCGAAATTGTTTCCAATAATGGCGAAGACGAGACATCATTTATGGACCCAGGACGAATGATTACTTTAGCCAGTGATAAAAAGAATTCTTTTTCTGCCAAAAGACAAATCGGGACTGACGGACTGCAATTACAATGCCTAGAAGTGAAAAAGAGTTTTAGTGAATATCTGAGATGCTGGCGTCTCTGTTAGGCAGGACCTATAATCGCTGTCAAAAGACTATAAGTTCTATCATACAACACATTTTTTACCAAGATGACCTTTTAAGTGATGAGGGAAAAGTGCGAGCTGAGTTCTCAACACACCGATGTAAGAGTTTTATTAGCTCTTAGCGAGAGAAAGGTTGCCACGCCCCACCAACCGATCCAAAGACCCAATAGAGCCGAGAAGGAGTTTCCGATAGCAAAAATAGGGACATATGCACAGGTAGCAGGTGGTACTCTAAAGCCGAAGTGGTATTTTTATGGGATCACGTTTTCCTCGTGTATCCGAAGAACAGAAAAAAGATTACTAATGCAGCCCGGGACTGCCTCAAAAAAGACATCAACCATGCCAAATTAAATGTAGGTGTGAAGAATGTCCACTGGGTTAGGAGGAAAAATGTCCTGATTGAAATTGCATCTCGTTGGAGTACTTCGACGTAAGGACGTTGAAGTACTCCTAAAATATTTGATAAAAAGGAAGTTGCCGGATGAGTCAGTAGTCTTTGACTGCCAAAGAAGCGCTGTCTCAAAGTAATTATTTACGATGTCCAAAAGGACATCAGTGAAAATGGATTGGCAGAGATCATCTCTGTCCAAAACAATTTGGGCATACAGGCTGATGATTAGAAGTAGTAAAAGTTTATTACTTTCGCAAGAGTGTGTCATGTGAGCTGCCACCCACTCCCTACCATTAATGACAACAACGTGCTTAGTGTCTTATTACTCTGTAAACAAAAACTTCCTTTCCCTGTGAAAAGTGGGTGAGATGTCAACGTTATTGTTAAGTATATTGAAAAGAATGTTGTTCTTGATATTCAAGAATTAGTTTTGACAGAACTGTTTACTTTTAATTAATTAAACAAAACGCCGTTTATCTTAACTAACATTTTTCTTATAATTTATTTCTGCCTTGTTTATAAAATTGTTTTCACTATATTTTAAATCGATTTGTTTTAAAATATAGGCCTACTTGTATAAAGTTTATAAATTAAAGTGTAAAAATTGTAATGAAAATTTCGTTGTTTTAAGAAATAACTATTGATTATATAGAATTGAAGTTTGTAAAAATGCTTTTATATCTCTACCTATTCGTCATTATGTATATCTATAATATTTTTATTTTATAAATAGATCTCATTAAACTATTAAACACAATGTGACGATGTTTTCAAACAAAATGGAACAAAATGATGATAATTAATTTACATGTCAGAATTAAAAGCTATACTTCGCATTATCGCCATCGACTCCTGTTAGGTTCCGAGTATACTCGAGGAACATAAGATTTCTAATGTTTACGAATGTCAAACCAAGTAATGAAACTTTCACTCTTAGATTTCGGTCGTTGAATATCGAAAATTGTCCTTTCTCTCTAACTGATCTAGTCTTGCGTTACCTGAGTATAGAAAACAAGTCAATTAGAGAGTAACGATAGTAAATTGAGACTAATGCGAATGGTTAGTTCGGTGACCCAGTCTTTAAGATTCCAATTTTTTTTTCTAAGTTACCGGGTTAAACTATATAAATGAGACGTCTCAGTTTTTTCCACACCTACGTTTCTCTTCTCATCACTTTTCTTTTTTGAGTTTTTTCTCTCCCCGTTCTTTCAAACTAACGATTTTATTACTCACTGATTAAGGTTTTAGTTCAGAAAAAAAATCGAAGTATATTGCTTTCTATTATCCAATAAAACTTCGGGAAATCTCGTTGAATAGGATTTGTTAAAATTTGTTATTCATACTGTGTTCTACTTAATCGATAAGACATTCTTGTAGGTCTCTCCTCGCGTTTGGCGTATTGGCTGTGAACCATTACCAAAGTATATCAGAATAGCAAATCAGATAACACAAAATATCTAAGCGACCAATCTATCAGCAATAAGGTTAAATCTAAAATAAAAGTTATAATAACTGTTATAACGTTTTAATGGTAAAGGTTGTAAAATAACAAAGTACAGTACACTGCAGCACATTTAACAATGTAATAAAAGAAAGTTCAACTGAAATATGTTTACATAATAATGTTAAAGTAATAGGGCGTCCTGTTTCTCGAATTTTGATAACACGACGATGCGCAAAATGTAAATTTTGTACCAACGATGGTGGAGATAACTGTTAAAAGTAAACCTCCGTTTAGAATTTAAGATCACGTTTATTATAACAAGATATCCTCACAAGTTCGTGCGGTTAGAAGGAATGCGGTTCGTCCGAAATGGAAGAAATGGCTTAATTAATCATGAACACTTGTCTCAATGGAATAGCGTTACTCCTCTTCCAACGAGAACATGATCATATGTCAAACAGACTTATGATTCGACTCTGGGGGGAGTAGATGCCGATTCTTTTCTCTGAAGGAAAGGTCCAAGGGTGATAGGACTTCCTTCAGAAATCAGGATCTGTGAATGTTCTCTTGTGAGAAAAAACTTCGAAGTTTTTGCAGAAAAGATTATTTGTTTATCCTTGCTGTCTGACTCTGAAAATAGGGTGCATGATGATGGTTAATCTGTTAGAAAAAAATGTGACGATAGATTTATAACGATATGTGTTTCAGATTACAGTGGAACCTCGGTATACGACCTTAATCCGTTTTTGGTGTTCGGAGTTATACCGAATAAGACGTATACCGAACCAACCTTTTCCATAAGAAGTAATGTAAAAATGATTAATCCGTTCTCATGTAAAAAAAAATGGCTGGCTTTAAACACCTCGCTTTCCTCGCTAGTTTTTGCTTGATTTTTCCGGAGATCAGTATGTATCTTTCTAGCTTTCTCGCAAATAATTTTTTCCCATACGCTTTTTCCAGCTCACTGTTTTTCACTTATCCAAAGCAAAAGCAATTTTTCGACAAGATCTAATGTCTTCGATTTCTGTTTAGAAATTAATTTAACCCCTTTCGCAACGTTAGCAAATTTAATAATGTCTTTATTTTTCGCGATTGTCGATATCGTCGTTCTCGGAATACGGTATGCAACAGTTAAATTTCAAACACGCGTGCCACCTTCATATTTCTCAACAATCTCTTTTTCAGTTCCATTGTGATTCTAGTCATCTTTTTATTTTTTTGTTGCCTGTTTGCAATTCATGATTAATAAAAATAATAAAATTTTACTTACAAATTAAAATCAGAAGAAATTTAACAAAGTTATAAACCGTGCCACCGCGAACGTCTAGTCTGGTGTAGTACACCGATAGTGCAACTTGTTCATAGATCACGCGTATAATTAAATTAAGTCGTATACCGAACAAAAGTCGTATACCGAACAAAATTTGTTTCGTCTAAACAGGACGTATTCCGAATTCGACGTATTCTAAAGCAGACGTATACTGAGGTACCACTGTATTTTATTACATAGATATTTTTAATGACATTTTTTTATAATAATTAGGTGTACTGCTCAGTAAGAAATGCAGTGAACAGTATTAATTGTGCTATTATTTCTTATTTGACCCGATACTGGGGGAAATTTTGGCAGGTGTTCGGTATAAGTCATTTCTCTCTCCAGCAAATTCCTGAAACACGTACGTCATCTTTCTCCTAGTGACACAGTCAATGTATAAAATTTTCACTAAATAATGTTTGAAAACGCTTTTTTCTGACACGTTGCATTTAAAAGTTATTATAAAATGTTTTGTGTCATCTTTAGGAATACATAGCCCAGCAAATGGTAATATTTGAAAATAAGTAAACACTAATTTATTTAGTAATTATATTAACAACTTACATTTTATAAAGAAGTTACAGGAAAATTATGTCAGCGTGACTCTTGTCAGCATCTCACACTTACTAAACAAAACTCTACACAATAGCAAATTAATAAGAATATATGTTTAGAAATACACAATTCCTTACTTTCTTCGCTCAATCATTATCTCTGGCAATAAAACAAATTTTTCATACATTTTGATTGGACGATTATTACGTTGGTTCATGTTTACTCGCTCATCGAAACTTGATACGTATCGCATTGTTGCAGGCAACATAACGCAACGCGACTGACATAAATAATTAATTTTCATAACACAAACTGTGCAACTTGTATAATTTTGTTTCTCGGATTAACAAACAAACATATTACGTACTACTGCGACAGTTGTCAGGAATGCGCAATGAGGAAAAAAGCCCTGCATTGTCATCAAGCCCGTTTGCAGACCCTTTGCAGAGTCCATTCTCTACAACTCACAATTACCACAAGTGTTTACTAGTTTTCATAGACTATTTTTCTAGAAGTACAGAAGCCGTCCCTTTGCCCGATACTACTGTTAAAACAGTGGCGAAAGCGTTCGTGTAGCATATTATTTTAAAACATTCGGTTCCGAAACAACTGCTTAACAATAGAGGATCAAATTTTGTTTTTGAGGTAATAAAGGAATTAAGCGATTTGCTGCGTATCGAAAGACTCCTAACGACAGCACATAACCTTTTACTGTAATGGAATGGTGGAACGGCTGAATAAAACGCTCTTAAACATTTTAATCCATTATTTTGATAGAAACCAACGTAATTGAAATAAAACGATTTCTTCGCGTATAATACAACCATTCGAGAACGAATGAAACTCCGTTTTATTTAATATACGAATGTGATCCTACATATCCATTTGACATAGTCATAGTATAACATAACATGACATAGTATGAAGTAATCGAAAATTTCGCGAACGAACTCAGTGTTAGCTTGAATTCAGCACTAAAAGTGGCACAAGAACAAACCGTACAAATTCTCAGTAGGAGACAGTCTTCGTAAATGAAGTAGTTGTCCCATCCAGTTTGAAACGATAATTAGCTCTTAGATAGTAATACCCCGTTCGAACACAATCCACGACTCAATTCGATCTCGATTTACCCACAATCTGGATTGTGACTGTCGCCAGTGAAACGTCGTGCTGTTCGCACAGGTAACTCGCTTGAGAAGAACCCGGCTATTACACGCGATGATAAAATTGGCATAACTACGCGGTAAGTCACGAACACCAACAAACAAAATGGAAATTTTGGTTAAAAATAAATACATTTTCTTGCCGTATATCTAATAATAGACAGATGTCATCGTCTCTCCAGATGTCTTTTTAATTTTTCTGTCGATAGGCGGACACGTGTTCAGCAGCCATCTTGTATTTTCTCGCGCGCGTGGGATTGTGGGATTTCTCTTATGACTGGATCTAGTTTCAAGAACTCTCTCCAGTCCATCGCGATTTAGCCTCGTTTCAGTCGAGATTGAAACGGTCGAGAGCGTT